ATTCCTTTTTGAACATATGTCTCTCCTCTCACACTTTGCTATTACCATTAAGGAGAAACCAGGCTATACTATCAACACTTTGCTTAGAAATCTCGTCAGGTAGACATCCAATTTCAGTGTTTCCAAGTTAGTTCTACCTTCCATAAAACATTTGACTACAATTTGATCAGGGTCTTTGCCACTTTATAATAAGGGTCACCTCTCTCCAGTTTCCAATAGCACATTCCTCGTTTCCATCTGAGGCCTGACCAGAAGCACTTTCTTTTTCTTTCCTTTTTTTTTTTTTTGAGGCAGAATCTCACTGTGTTACCCTGGCTAGAGTGCAGTGGCATCATCATAGCTCACTGTGACCTCCAACTCCTGGGCTCAAGTGATCCTCCTGCCTCAGCCTCCAGAGTAGCTGTGACTACAGGCACCACCATGCCCAGTTAACTTTTTCCATTTTTGGTAGAGATAGGGGTCTCACTCTTGCTCAGGCTGGTCTCGAACTCCTGACCTCACTCAAGTGATCCTCCTGCCTCAGCCTCCCAGAGTGCTAGGATTACAGGTGTCAGCCACCATTCCTGGCCAGAAGTGGTGGCTCACACCACTGCTTAACATATGGATATTTTTAAAAAATGGAATTTTTAACATCTATTTTCGCCAACACTGCCTTCATGGCAAACTCTTCCTTTTTCTAGCATGCACCTCAAAAATCTTCCAGCCACGTCTCATTACCTGGTTCCAAAGCCACTTCCTTATTTACAGGCATTTGTTGCAATAGCACTGCACTCCTGGTACCAAAATCTGTGTTCATTTGCTTGGGCTGCCATAACAAAGCACCACAGACTGGTGTCTTAAACAACAGAAATTCGTATTTTGTTTTTTTAAGTTCTGGAAGCTGGATATCTGAGACCCAGGTGTCGCCAGGGTTGTCTCCTTCCGAGGGCTCTTTTCTTAGCTTGCAGACAGCTGTTTTCCCCATGTGTCTTCTCATGGTTGTCCTCCTGCATTTGTATTCAAATCTCCTCTTCTTATGTGGACAGCATTTGTATGGGTTAGGATGTACCCTCCTGACCCGATGAACCTTGATCACCTCTTTAAAGACCCTATCTTCAAACCAGTCACATTCTGAAGTAATGGGGATTAGGGCTTCAATATTTGACTTTTGGGTCACCTCGTAACAAGGTGTAGCCAGGGCGGGCCCAGGCGAGCTGTAACTTGGGAGCTGTCACTCTTCCTGGCGTGGGACAGGAGAAGGGGATGGCAGGTTGTAGTGTCAGGTGTGGTGTAGAGGCCACAGCTGGAGTCTGGTGTCTACGTGATGTGAGCCAGGGCAGTGGGTGGGAGTGTAGGTCTATAGGGTCAGAAAAGAGGCAGGTGACATGGAAGAGCAGGGCCTCACGGGGGCTGGGAGGATGTACAGTGAGCCCAGACGTGTGGGATGGACACCCTGCCAGGGAAGGGTATCTCCTGTATCTCCTGTATGAGGGACAACAGCGGGGCAGTGAATGTCATGACATGGAGATGCCTCCTGTGTGGTTACAGGGGTTGGGGAGGAGAGAGAGAGGGGGTGGGGGGTGTCCATCACGTTGTTGCAAATCGGAGGAGCCTGTGCTGCTTCCCAGGCATGAGAGGTTCTGGGTAGGACAAGATGCCCTTTGAGAAGATGAGAGGTCTGGAACGGAGCCCCCCTCCCAGCTCCCTGCCCCTCGCAGACAGAACTCAGAAGGCCTCACTATCTGACGCTCTTGGGCCTGCCTCTTGCCACATCCTCAAAGCCTCCTGCTTCTGTGTCCTTCCTGGATGTTGAGCTTGTGTCCCTCAAATCCGCCAGAGGGTTTGACGGCTTCTGTCCATGTGACCCTTCCTAGCCCTTCCTGCTCGATTCATTCAAGATCTGAAGACCAAGGAGGCCACTGAGGGGACCACAGCCACTCTGCAGTGTGAACTGAGCAAGGTGGCCCCTGTGGAGTGGAGAAAGGAGCCCGAGACCCTCAGAGATGGGGACAGGTACAGGCTGAGACAGGACGGGACCACGTGTGAGCTGCAGATCCGTGGCCTGGCCGTGGCGGATGCTGGGGAGTACTCGTGCGTGTGTGGGCAGGAGAGGACCTCGGCCACGCTCACCATCAGGGGTAAAGACCACGTGTGGTCAGGCACAACTGTTCTGGCGTCTAAATATTGACTTCCGGACATCTGTCTCCACTCTTTCCATCGTTTCTCCCCATCTCTGTGTCACCCTCTACCTGTCACTCCATGGAATCCCTTCCACCCTCCCACCACTGTGCCATAGCGGGTTCAGTCACATATTCCTGTTGGATTCTGTGTCCCCCAAAGTTCTGCAGAGCCTCTGATGATCTCCTTGTGTTTCCATCCCTCTCTGGCTCTGCCAACCAGATTCATATAAACGTGAGGCCCGAGGAGGCCACAGCCGTGTGGTGCACAGCTTGGGCTGGGGGAAGCCACAGGCCACAGACTGTGCTTGGCGCACCCTGCACGTGGCTCATGTCCAGTGGGTTTTGTGTCTTCTCTGTCTGTCCACGTCCTGTGTCTCCTGTGTTCTCAGAGGGTGTGATTGTGCCCATGTCTTTCTGACCCCCAGCCCTGCCTCCCAAGTTCACAGAGGGTCTGAGGAATGAAGAGGCCACAGAAGGGGCCACGGCCACGCTACAGTGTAAGCTGAGCAAGGTGGCCCCCGTGGAGTGGAGGAAGGGGCCCCAGAGCCTCAGAGATGGGAACAGATACAGCCTGAGGCAGGACGGGACCACATGTGAGCTGCAGATCCGTGGCCTGGCCGTGGCGGATGCTGGGGAGTACTCGTGCACATGTGGGCGGGAGAGGACCTCGGCCACGCTCACTGTCAAGGGTAAAGATCATGTGCGGTCATGTAGACCCGTGCCTTGGTGTCTACACATTGTCTCCCTATCATCACCTTCTGCCTCCCAATGTGGCACAGCTCCTATGGTCACCCTGTGAGCATCTGTCCTCTGTCTTGGGTCCTCTGGCATCTCCCACCTCCCCTTCTCCTTGCTGAGAGACATCCTCATGTTCATGTTTATCTCTCTGTGCTCTGTTCCTCCCATTGGCTCCTCACCGTCTGTACGTGGGTTTGCTCGTTCATGCCATGGTCCTGTGGCAGTTTGTGTGGCTCTATGTGGGTGTCCGTGTCCTGTACACAGAGTCCTCCAGACAGTCTGATGTTCTCAGTGACCACTTGGTCCTTCACAGCCCTGCCTGCCAGGTTCATAGAAGACATGAGAAACCAGGAGGCCACAGAAGGGGCCATGGCCACACTGTGGTGTGAGCTGAGCAAGGCAGCCCTTGTGGAGTGGAGGAAGGGGACAAAGACCATCAGAGATGGGGACAGATACAGCGTGAGGCAGGACGGGACCCAGTGTGAGCTGCAGATCCATGGCCTCACCATGGCTGATGCCGGGGAGTACTCGTGCGTGTGTGGGCAGGAGAGGACCTCGGCCACGCTCACCGTCAGGGGTAAATATGCTGCATGAACAAGTAGATCGTCCTTCTCGTGTCCAGTTATGAGCCTCTGCCATCCATTTCTGCTCATTCCGTGGTGTTCCCCCGACTCTGTGCCACATTCTTCCCATCACTCCACGGAATCCCTTCCAGCCTCCTGGGCTGCTGCGTGAACCATAGGAAACCCGCGTGTTTAGCCTGCTTCCCTTCTCAGTGCCACCGTGGGTTCCGTCCTGGGGGATTCTGTGTCCTTCGGGGCGTGTTCTGCCCCCCAGCGCCTTCTAGGGAGGCTGATGTTCTCTGTGTCCATCTGTCTGTCCCCAGCCCTGCCTGCCCACTTCATCAGAAGACTCAGAAACAAGGAGGCCACAGAAGGGGCCACAGCCACACTGCAGTGTGAGCTGAGCAAGGCAGCCCCTGTGGAGTGGAGGAAAGGTCCTGAGACCCTCAGAGCTGGGGACAGATACAGCCTGAGGCAGGATGGGGCTGAGTGTGAGCTCCAGATCCATAGCCTCACTGCGGCGGATGCCGGGGAGTACTTGTGTGTGTGCGGGGAGGAGAGGACCTCGGCCACGCTCACCGTCAGGGGTAATGGTTGTGTGTGGCCACGTGGACCTGTGGCTTGATGTCTGTGCATTGTGTCACGTCACCACCTTCTGCCTCCCAATGTGGCACAGCTCCTGCGGCAACCTGTGGGCATATATCCTCTACTTGGGGTCCTCTGGGTGTCTAACGTGTCCTCTTTTCCTTGTCAGTAGATGTCATCATCGTCACGTCCTTCGCTTTGTCTCTGTTCCTCCTGGGCCTTGTGCTCTCTTACCATCTGTACTTTCCTTTGCTGACTCGTGCCGTGGTCCTTTGGCAGTTTCTGTGGCCGTGTGTGGTGTCCGAATCCTGTACACAGAGCCATCCAGTCTGATGTTCTCAGCAACTGTTTCGTCCTCCCCAGCCCTGCCTGCCAGATTCATAGAAGACATGAGAAACCAGGAGGCCACAGAAGGGGCCACAGCGATGCTATGGTGTGAGCTGAGCAAAGTGGCCCCTGTGGAGTGGAGGAAGGGGCCCGAGACCCTCAGAGATGGGGACAGACACAGCATGAGGCGGGACGGGACACGATGTGAGCTGCAGATCTGTGGCCTGGCCGTGGCGGATTCCGGCGAGTACGCATGCGTGTGTGGGCAGGAGAGGACCTCGGCCACACTCACCGTCAGGGGTAAAGACCACAAGTGGCCACATGGACTGCTTTTTGGTGGCTGCCCATCACCTCTCTGCTCCCATTTGTGTTCTGGTCTCTTGGTCTTGGTTTTCTCTCCATCCGCAGTGTCTCATCCTCTCTGTTATGTTCCTGGCTGCTCTGTGACTTGTGCACAGGCTGGACCAAGGGGAGCCACCATCCACAGCCTGTGCTCAGCACAAGCAGTGCGTGGCCCATGTCCAGTGGGTTTTGTGTCTTTTGTGTGTGTCCACGTCCTGTGTCTCCTGTGTGCTCAGAGGGTGTGATTGTGCCCATGTCTTTCTGACCCCCAGCCCTGCCCGCCAAGTTCACAGAGGGTCTGAGGAATGAAGAGGCCACAGAAGGGGCCACGGCCATGCTACAGTGTAAGCTGAGCAAGGTGGCCTCTGTGGAGTGGAGGAAGGGATCCCAGATCCTCAGAGATGGGGACAGATACAGCCTGCGGCAGGACGGGACCATGTGTGAGCTGCAGATCCGTGGCCTGGCCGTGGAGGACGCCGGGGAGTACTCGTGCACATGTGGGCGGGAGAGGACCTCGGCCACGCTCACTGTCAAGGGTAAAGACCACATTTGACCGTGTCGACTTGTTGCTTGGTGTCTACACATTTTCTCCCCATCACTAGCTTCTGCATCCAAATGTGGCACAACTCCTGTTGGCAACCTGGGTCGTCGGTCCTCTAACTGGGGTCCTCTGGGCATCTCCCACCTCCCCATCTCCTTGTCACATCTCTTCACGTTCACATCCACCCCACGTTCTCTGTTCAGCCTGGGCCGCTTGCTTTCTCACCGTCTGCACCTTCACTCACTCGCTCACACCGTGGGCCTTTCGCGGTTTGTGTGGCTGTGTGTGGCGTCCGTGTCCTGTACACAGAGTCCTCCAGTCTGATGCTCTCAGGGACCGCTTGGTCCTCTGCAGCCCTGCCCGCCAGGTTCATAGAAGGTGTGAAAAACCAGGAGGCCACAGAAGGGGCCACAGTCACGCTGCGGTGTGAGCTGAGCAAGGCGGCCCCCGTGGAGTGGAGGAAGGGGCCCGAGACCCTCAGAGATGGGGACAGATACAGCGTGAGGCGGGACGGGACGCAGTGTGAGCTGCAGATCCGAGGCCTGGCCATGGCGGATGCCGGGGAGTACTCGTGCGTGTGTGGGCAGGAGAAGACCTCGGCCACGCTCACCGTCAAGGGTAAAAACCACATGTGGCCTCGTGGACTCATTCGGGTGTCTGCCCTTACTATGTGTCCAGCCCTGGGGCCACACAGTGCCCTCTCCTTGTGGTCGCCCATTTCCCCCGTGGCTCTTGCTGTTTGCCCCTCTCCTGTCTCCTCTCGAATCACAGCACTGGGGCTTGCCCTGATCTCCCTCCAAATGGCCTCAGGTCACCGGTCACTGTGGTAGGGACAGGATTCCCTCCTGTCCCCCCCCATCCGCTCAGCTTTCTGCCACCCTTATTTGAGCCTTGAGGCCTCTTAGCTGGAGATTGTCACATTCGTCTCTAGGGGAAGTGAGGCGGGACCCATAGACCCTGGCTCTGACTGTCAGTGTGGCCTTGTGGGACAGACACAGTCGGCCACACCTCCGGGTCTAAGGGGACATGGTCCTGCCTTGGGGTCTGGGGGTTGATGCAGCCCTACCCTGGGGAGCACGGGGTGGGGGTGGACAGAGGCGACCTGCCCTGGGGAGACGGGGGCACGGCTGTGTCCCAGGGTCCGAGTGGGTGCCAGAGCGTGGTCTCCAAGCGAGCGTGCCTGCCCGTAGCCCCGCAGGTGCTGTTCCGGGAGCCGCTGCAGAGCCTGCAGGCCGAGGAGGGCTCGGCGGCCCGCCTGTGCTGCGAGCTGTCCGAGCCGGCCGCCGTGGTCTGGAGCAAGGGCGGCCTGGAGCTGGGCGCGGATGCGCGCAGGGAGCCGCGGCTGCGGGGCCGCACCGCGGAGCTGGTGCTGCGGGACGTGCGGCGCGAGGACGCGGGCGAGTACACCTGCGCCTGCGGCTCCCAGGCCACCAGCGCCACACTCACCGTCACAGGTGGGTCCCGGGCTGGGCTGGCCCCTCTCACAGACGCAGGGCGTGGGGTGGCGCAGAGGGGACGGAGCAGTCCCGGTGCTCTGGGCTGACCCTCGGAGCCACAGCTCTGCGTGGAGGGAGCCCCGGCTGCAGGGACGGGGCTCCACGGGACAGGTGCAGCCTGCCCTGAGGCTCTGGCCCCACCCCCTCCCCGCCCCAGGCTGCACCGTTCAGGTGTCCGAGACCCCTGTATCTGCTCCCGGCTCTGTCATCTATCCCGTACTTGTGCCCTTGTGGGGCCTCCCCCACCCTGGCGTAACTGCCCCCTCCTGGTAGCGGGTGCCCCCTCGACCTGAGTGGTTCCCCAGTTCCTGCCCTTTCATCTCCCCAGTAAGATTGCCCCTGGCCCTCCTCACCCCGCCACACTGCCACCTGCACCCTCACGCCCACCCTCTCCCCACAGCCGCGCCCGTGCGCTTCCTCCGCGAGCTGGAGGCGCAGGAGGTGGCGGAGGGCGGCACGGCGCACCTGCGCTGCGAGCTGACCCGGCCGGGGGCGGGCGTGGAGTGGCGCAGGGGCTCCCTGCAGCTCTTCCCCTGCGCCAAGTACCAGATGGTGCAGGAGGGCACGGTTGCCGAGCTGCTGGTGCGCGGCGTGGAGCCAGAGGACGCGGGTGACTATACCTGTGACACGGGCCACACACAGAGTGTGGCCACCCTCTCTGTCCGTGGTGAGCTGCCCGCGGGCCCTGCTCATCCCCTACCCTGTGTAGCGGCCAGGCGGGGAGGGGCTTGCCCAGAGGCAAGCTCCTGGCTCTAAGCGTCCCTTCCTGTGTTCCTTTCTGGGTCCCCACAGCCCCCAGCCCCAAGTTCAAGACGGGGCTGCAGAGCTTGGAGCAGGAAGCAGGCAGCGTGGCCCGGCTGTGCTGTCAGCTCAGCCAGGCGGCGCCGGGGGCTGTGGTGCAGTGGCTGAAGGAGGGTGTGGAGCTGCGCGTGGGCCCCAAGTACGAGATGCGGAGCCAGGGGACCACGTGTGAGCTGCTGGTCCGCGGGCTGGAGGCCAAGGACACGGGCGAGTATGCCTGCGTGGTGGGCGGCCAGAAAACCGTGGCCTCCCTCAGGGTCAAAGGTGAGCCCTTCCCTGCCACACCCACGCCCTCCCCCCCCGCCGGGTTTCAAGCTCTCTTCCTTCTCATTCCTGTGCCACATGGTGCAGGAGCCTCTGAGAGAACTTAGGGACCAGGGAGACAGGTGCCCCCAGCCCAGGGTCTGCCCCCAAGGAGCTCAGTGTCACCGCGGGGGCTGTGCTTGGGAGCACATCTCGGGGGACAAATGCCGTGTGGCGCAGATAGGGGCTGTAGCAGAGGGTGTGAAGGTGGCCAGGAAGACTTCCTGGAGGAGGGGGCATGGATGCTTTGACCTGGCTGGTAAAGTGTCCCCCTTGCCCTGCCCCTCAGAGCCTGAGGTGACCATCGTTCGGGGTCTGGTCGACACGGAGGTGCAGGTGGACGAGGACGTGAAGTTCAGCTGTGAGGTGTCACGGGCCGGGGCCACGGACGTGCAGTGGCGACTCCAGGGCCTGCCGCTGCAGAGCAACGAGGTGACAGAGGTGGCCGTGCAGGATGGCCGTATCCACACACTCTGGCTGAAGAGCGTGACACCTGAGGATGCCGGCACCATCTCCTTCCACGTGGGCAGCCACACGTCCTCTGCCCAGCTCACCGTCAGAGGTAGCCAGCTCTGGGCACGCGGCAGGCGGGCCATCCCAGATTGCGTGTGGGGCCCAGGAGCGGCTGGGGGACAGAGACAGGCTAGAGTCCTGGCCTCTGGGGGCAGGGACCTGGCAGGGAGGTAGACCTGTGAGCCGATGATTTCAGGGCGTCCCCTCCCCAGGACGTCAGGGTAGATGGGGCTGAGTTAGGCTGGGGGCCAGGTGGTGGTGGGCTTCTCAGAGGATCCCACAGTATTGGAGCTTAGCTCCCCATAGCGTGGCCCTGGTGAAGAGGCCACTGCAAACTGTGGCCCACCCCCAGCCCTCAGACATCTGCACTGTCTCCATCTCTGCCGTTCCACTAGCTCTGAAACTGGTCCCATCCACACATCATCCATCCACCATCCATCCATTCGTCCATTTCCCCATCCTCCCATCCACCATCCATCCATTCACTGTCCATCCACCTATCCACCATCATCCACGCATCCATGCATGCATCGTCTACCCATTTATCCATTCACTCACCACCAGCCATCAGAGTCCACCCTGCAGACTCTACCAGGAGCTGGTGTGGGGAGCTGAAAACAGGCTCCCATGTGCTTGTCTTTGGGAATTGGGGTGGGGGTCCTTAGGGGTGGACCCCGGGGACATGGAGGCTCTGCTGATTGAGGGGGCATCCCAGACGCCGAGGCTGATGCCCATGCCTCCCGTGCCCAGCCCCTGAGGTGACCATCCTGGAGCCCCTGCAGGACGTGCAGCTCAGCGAGGGCCAGGATGCCCGCTTCTGGTGCCGGCTGTCCAGGGCCTCAGGCCAGGAGGCCCGCTGGGCTTTGGGAGGGGTGCCCTTGCAGGCCAACGAGATGAACGACATCACTGTGGAGCAGGACAACCTCTACTCACTCACCCTGCACAAGGTGGGGCTCCTGGGGACTTGCCCCCACCCAGTTCCAGCTCCGCTCGGGAAGGTCTTCCAAGGGGATTGGGTTGGGGAGGTGATAATCCCTGTCACTGGGGGCTTGCAAGATGGGTGGGCCCCATTCGGTGAGGATGGGTCTGCCGGGGCCAAGCATGTCTCTCCATACTCCCGCAGGTGACCCTCGAGGATGCTGGAACCATCAGTTTCCAAGTGGGCTCGTGTAGCTCTGAGGCCCAGCTGAAGGTCACAGGTGGGCAGCCTCTCCCACGCCTGGGCCACGCTGCCCAGGGAGGCCCTTCCTTCCTGGGCACCACAGCATCTCACCCGTTGGCAGCTGTCAGGGGGACAGGACCCAGGACTAAAGCAGTGATTGTGTCTGGGGCTGGCAGTTTTCTGACCCCTGGCCACTAAAGCCATGGACTAGAGAGGGCACTGGGGTGGGGGGGTTGGTGAAGATCACCTTGAGAAGTTCCAAGGGCTGTGGGGGGCCCTGTCCAGGATTAGAGCTGTCTGTGGGAGGGAGATGGGGAGCCCAGCAGCCATGGGCTTGGGCCCCAAAGTGGAGGCAGGGTCTTCCCGATTCCTGCCTTCCAATCGCCTCCCCTATGATACAGATGCACACATCTGCACACATGGCCGTGTTCACACACTATCTGCCCACCCAACAGGCTCAAAAGTGTAGGAGCAAAAGCTTTCCCATGATACATGTACAGATTTGGGCAAGCGCACAAACAGGATTTCAGGAACCTTCACCTTGGGTCATACCTTGCCCCTGGAGCTGGTCATCTTGGCCTGAGTGCTCCTCTCCTGCTGTCTACTCCTAGGGCTCAAACTGGTCCCCCCATCCACCCATCATCCATTCATTTATCCATCTACTCATCCACACGCCCATGATCCCTCCATCCACTCTCCATTCATCCATCCACCATGTATCCATCACCCATCTGTGCATCCATCATCTATCCACCTGTCCATCCATTATCCATCCATACGTCAATCCATCTGCAATATGTCCATCCACCCATTCGCCCATCCATCCGTCCACCTATTCAGCCATTCACCTGTTCACCAGCCATCCACCCTTCTATCTACCTACCCATCCATCCCTCCACTCACCTGTATACCATCCATCTACCCACTTCCACCCACCCATCCATTCATCTATTCACCATCCACCGTCCATCCATGTTTCCATCCATCTGCCATTCATCTGCCATCTATTATCCATCCACTCGCCCATCCATTCACCTATTCACCATCCACAATCCATTCATCCATCCATCATCCACCATCCATCTGCTATCCATTCATTCAACATTGAACAAACCCTTTAAGCCCCTACCTTTTGCCAAGTCCTGGACCTTAAGATGGTCCAGATGCAGTGTGCCCTCAGGGAGTCCCCACTCAGCTGGGGGAGCAAAAGTGTAGGAGCAAAGTGCAGGAGTCCCCACTCAGCTGGGGGGAGTTGTACATGGAGAGAGTATGTTCTGCATCCCAGGTGCCACCCCCCACCCTCGAGTCTCCAGGGGTAGATGGATGCAGTCAGTTCTGTGTCCTGTGGGCTGGGGTGTTTCCAGATGCCAGTGCCCTTGAGTTGAGTGAGGAAGAGGGAGCGTTTCCAGGTGTCCTGAGCAGGGTCAGGGCAGGAAGGGCCTGGTGTGGTCACCAGGGTGGGCAGCTGTGCGGGGGCAGCATAGAGCTGGGCTGTGCTTCAGCCCCTCTCTGGCGAGGTGTTCCCAGCCTGGGTGAGCTGGCACATCCGGATGCCTGGCCATGGCCTCGGGGGCCGGGCCCCGGCATGGGCCTGTGAATGGGTGCCAGGCAGGCAGTGTGATGGGTGGGCTTGGGAGCTCGTTAGTGACAAGAATGAAGAGGTGGCCGAGCAGGATGAGGTGGCAGTCGGATGTGCACTTGGGAAAGATGGCCAGGGCAGAGTGGGGGCTGCTGCTGGGGTGTCGGTGGTACACTTGAACGAGAGAGCGGGGAGGCTTCCTTCCAATGGAGAGCCCGCTGGGGCGGGCACAGGGCCGCCTTGCCCGGCACTGTCCTGATGAGTGGCTGGTATCTCCGTAAGGGCTCCCCTGCTACCCACCTCTCACCCTCCGCCCCATGGGGTGAAGGTGTCCAGGCTTTGCCAGCTGTGGACGGTTTCTCTGTCTCCACGCGGAGGCTCCCGGGCTGGCGCGGGGACGTGCTCAGAGGCAAGCAGGGTGCAGGGCGGCGGGTGGTAGAAGAAGCCTTTGGCTCTGTCCTCCTCTCTCGACTGGTCTGTGGGCAGTGGTGGCCTGAGGGTCCCACCGAGAGGTGGGTGGGAGGGAAGAGGACTGGAGCGGGGCACAGGGTAGGCAGCAGCTTCACCTGTGTCTGGGAAGCTGCCTGAGCTCAGGCCCTGCTGTGTGATCGGGCAGGGAGCAGTTGCCACTTGGTATTCGGGCCCTGGTAGCCTAGAGCCAAGGGGACCTCAGAGCACATCTAGACAAAGTGCTCTCTTGGCATGGGAGGAGCATAAGCTTCCACACCCCCAGGGATGGAGGGCTCCCTTCTCACCCTCTTAGAGTGGCAGGCCCTGCGGCCTCTCCTTCCCCCCCACACCGGGTCAGATAAGGCTCCAAATGGCAGAAAGGGCCTCAGGCGTGGAGCCTGGGGCTCGTCCATTCCTCCTGCTGAGAAGGGTACACGTCTTCAGCTTCCTGTGGGTAAAACCAGGCATGTTCTGAGGGGTGTGGGGTGTACCTGGGGGCTGAGCCAGTCTCCATGGGCTCGCTGTGGGTTGGCTTTGTGTCTCCTCCTGTGATCAGGGTGGGCCCACTGGCCCAGGTGGATTTCTAGACCCCAACCCTAGGCCACCTTGCCGGGCCAGGTGGCCCCCACCCCCGTGACTAGTCTCAGAGCTGGTCTGGCAGGTCCCTCTTCTGACGCCAGCTGTAGAGAACAGCATGCTCACTGCTGCTCTGCTGCTGTACTTCACAGCAGGGACGCTGCCGCGCCCAGATGTGCGTGGGCTTTTCCTAAGTGTTCTCCTGGAGACTGCAACTGGGTGCCCATAATTCAATTTAATTCTGACACCTTCTACCTGGAGTTAGAGTCAGATCCTACAGGTTACCAGCCCAGCCCCTCAAGACGCCCCCACTTCAGACGCCAAGCAGAAGTCCCAGGCCACCCACACTTCTGACTGCGTAGCTATAAATTGGGGGTCCCACTACCCTCTCCTTGAGTTTGATTAATTTGCTAGGACGGCTCACAGAACTCAGAGAAACAGCTACATGCAGCAAGTTATTATAAAGGACACAACTTAGGAACGGCCCAATGGCAGAGATTTACAGGGCGAGGGGTTTGGGGAGCGGGCCCCGACCCTCCGTGTCCTCCCCGGGCGCGCCGTCCCCCAGCACCGCCGTGTGCACAGCCTGGGAACGCGTGCAGCCTCTGGAAGGAGTTTGTGTGGAGCGTAATTAACCTCTGGCCCCTCTCCCTTTCCCAGAGCTTGGTGGGTAGGGTGGAGACTGTCAGCCCTCTAAACTTTTGGTCCTTCTGGTGACCAACCCTTCCGGAAGCTATGTAGAAGCCCCGCCGAGTAACCTCACAGCTTGAACTCAGCTGAGGTCAAAGGGGCTCGTTCTGCATAACGAAAGATACTCCTCTTACTCGGGGAAATTCAGAGGGTTTTAGGAGCTGTGTGCCAGCAACCAGGGACCAAGACCAACTCCATTATTGTACCACGCCCCACGTCGGTAAGCCCCATAGTGGCCCAGTCCTAAGACCCCAGGGTGTCCCAGCCCAGCCCTCCTTCTCGCCCTGTTGTGCAGAGGCAGCGCTGTGCCTGGTACGTGGCTTGCAGAACGTGGACGTCTTCGCAGGGGAGGTGGCCACATTCTCCTGCGAGGTGTCTCGTGCGGGTGGGCCGGAGGCTCGCTGGTGGCTGGATGGGACCCTGCTGCAGGACGGCCCTGAGAGCGCCATTGCTGTGCGCAATGGGACCTTTCACTCCCTCGTGCTCTCAGGCCTGGGGGTGGCAGACTCAGGCACCGTCACCTTCCACGCGGGGCCCCTGGTCTCCACGGCCAAGCTGTTGGTCAAAGGTATTGGCCGATGGGACCCTCCCATGCTGGCACTTCTGCCTCTGCTTTCCATATATGCTTCCTGTGGGCTCCCGTGTGGCACAAGTCCCTGGGACCGGCCCCCGCGGCCATGGACCGGGCATCCCTCCATGCATAGTGGTTGACTAGGACGGCCCAGGTGGGCACCGTGGGCGGACCCTTGTCCTGCTTCCTGGATGAGAAGTCTGGGCTTGGGGAGCAGTTTAGCTGGAGACCAACCCCATGCCCACCCGGCCACTGCCTTGCTGGCCACATGTGCCCAGCCACGAAGCACAGTCCCCTGTGGAGGCAGGAGCGGCCCCTGCCTGGCCTGTCCCTGCTTGCACCCGCTTCCCCGGCTGTGGGCTCAGTGTGGGCTTGTGCCCTTCTGGGAAAGACTGGCCATACGGGGAGCCCCTCCCGGTGGCTTCATGTGGTGCCTTTGCCCCATGTGCTGTCGTAGAAAACGTGGAAGGTTTACCCGAGTTCCAGGGCGAACAACCATTCATTGAGTAGGATTTCAACAAGTGGAGATGGGATGGAGGCCTGAAGGTGGGCGGCAAAGTCCCCGGAGAGGGGCGAGCTGGGCTGAGGTTCTGGATCCCGAGCTAGGGCCTGAGGGCCTTCGCGGGGAGACCTTGGTGGGGGTATCCCTGCTGGGGCAATGTGCCCTGGGCCAGAGGGAGGTGGGGACAGAGGGGGCCAGGAGGGCCCAGCTGGACAGAGACGAAGCCCGACAGTGCTACCTGCCACGGGCAGGGTGAGGTGTGTCCAGCATGGACGGCCCCAGGCTGCTGTGGTGGGTGCCCCTGGGTGCTTGCTGCCGCCGCTGAAGCTGCTAATGCCGCAAGCCAAGGGCGGGAGGGCCGTGGTGGCCCTGCTTCTGAGGGCTGACGTGTGTCCGGCGTGTTGGCTGACAGATCCCGTGGTGGAGGTGGTCAGTGCCATGCAGGACCTGGCTGTGGAGGAGGGCGGCTCGGCCGAGCTCCTCTGCCAGTACTCGCTGCCCGTGCAGGCGACGTGGAAGATGGACGAGCGGGAGGTGTGCGCGGATGGGCACCGTGTCATCATAGAGCAGGACTGGAACGTGGCCAGGCTGATCTTCAGGCCGGCCTTGCCCTGTGACAGTGGCATCTATTCTTGCGAGGCTGCGGGCACACGTGTGGTGGCCCTGTTGCAAGTGCAAGGTGAGGCCGCCTGGCGGACAGCCCCAGGCCTGGCGCAGCTCTGGCGCGGCTTTGCAATAACGGTAGAACGGCAAGTGGCGACAGCCGGGGCTGTGATGCAGGTGGCCATTCCGGTGGGAACAGGCCCTGGGAGGTGGCGAGCTCACTGTGCCAGGAACTGAGCTGTTGCTAGGCAGGGCGTGTCCAGTCGTTGAGCTTGTGGCTTCCTGAGAAGTGCGTGGCCAATTATTAGACTGGTCCAGGTGAAATGCACAGAATTGGGGGGGCGTGGATTACGGAGGAGGCCTCTGGTCAGCGTGAGTGTGAGCCAGGCGTTCCAGGAGCCGCAGCAGCGGCTCTGGCAGTGCTATTTGCGGGGTCCGGGTTTCCAGACGCCGCAGCTGCAGCCGGGGCAGCGCGTACAGAGCCCAGCTCGGAGCCTGGCCGCCGGGTTTGAGCCCGGTTGTGCAGTGCCCAGTTTCTAGTCTGCCAGGTTCCTCACCTGTGAGATCAGGAGCCCGGGGCTGGCGGGAGGTGCCGGCGCAGGGCGGGCAGGGCGTGGGGGGTGACCGCGGATGCGCATGCGGGCGGCTCCAAGGTGGGCGCTGAGCGCTGCCCTCCTGGCGGTCGCTGGGGAGGTGCGTTTTGTTTGGCCTTTTGTAGTGTTCCGGACTCTCACAAGGGACAGTGTTTGCGGGGTGCCTGGAGGCGCTGGCCCGCCCTGAGCTTCCCTCTCCCTGCAGCCAAGAACACAGTGGTGCGCGGGCTGGAGAACGTGGAGGCGCCCGAGGGCGGCGAGGCGCTGTTCGAGTGCCAACTGTCCCGGCCCGAGGTGGCCGCCCACACCTGGCTGCTGGACGACGAACCCGTGCGCACCTCTGAGAACGCCGAGGTGGTCTACTTCGAGAACGGCCTGCGGCACCTGCTGCTGCTCAAAAACCTGCGGCCGCAGGACAGCTGCCGGGTGACCTTCCTGGCCGGGGACATGGTGACGTCTGCCTTCCTCACGGTCAGAGGTGACCGCGCTGGGCCGGTGCAGGGCAGGCGCTGGGACCCCTCCCCGCAGGAGGCTGGGCGCTCACTGCGCATTGAGGCAGAGGGCGGTGAGCGGGCGGTCCCCGAGGCCCCGCCCACCAGAGCTCTGCGCAGCCTGGAGGGGGGTGTCTCTCAGACCCCGCCCAGCCGACCCTGCTGGGGGCGGGTGGGGAGGGTGTGGGTCTTGAGCTCCTCCTCCGGAGCCCCTCCCCCGCCCCCGCGCTCACACAGGCACCCCAACCCGACAGGCTGGCGCCTGCAGGTCCTGGAGGCCCCGCGGGACGCAGCGGTGCTCACCGGGGCGCAGGCCAGCTTCAGCTGCACGCTCAGCGAGGCGGTTCCCGTGGGTGACGCGTCCTGGTACATCAATGGGGCCGTGGTGCAGCCAGACGACGTCGACTGGACGGTCACCGCCGACGGCAGCCACCACGCCCTCCTGCTGCGCAGAGCCCAGCCACACCACGCGGGGGAGGTCACCTTTGCCTGCCGCGACGCTGTGGTCTCCGCGCGGCTCACCGTGCTGGGTGCGTGGTTGGCGAAGTCCTTGTCCTGCAGGTTGGGTCTGGGGGACGACCCACCTGCAGAGCTCCCGGGTGGGTGGGTGACTGTCCAGGGCTAGGTCCTGTGCGGATCTGTCCGGCTGGAGAACTTGGGGGTTGGCCCTGCCCGTGGGCGTGTGGGCGCTGACTGGGAGGGTGGCGCCTGCCAGGTGTGTTCATGTGTGAACCCCCAGCCCTGGCGGCTCCCTCGTCCCTGCTCAGTGCAGATCTGAGCCCAGCCTGGGCGCACAGGAGGCAGGAGGGGCTCTAGCCCCAGCGACTGCTGTGGTCTCTCCATGGCCCCCTTGCTGGGTAGGCTCTGGGCACGCAGTCTCCCTGCAATACCCAAGTGCCACGGGGATTTTGGCAATGTCCCTCATCCCCGAAACAGGCTGGGCCCCGGGCACAGTGTGTGCAGGCCTGGGAGGCGGACCACACCTGCACTTGCTCTGCATCCAGCGTCAGACCCCGGGGCCGCCGGAGGGGCTGAAGGTGCCGGTGGGTGCCGCCAGGGAGCTGCCGCACTGAGCAATGCCTCTGCCCTGCAGGCCTCCCTGATCCCCCAGAGGATGCTGAGGTGGTGGGCCGCAGCAGCCACTCTGTGACGCTGTCATGGGCGGCTCCCACAAGCGACGGAGGCGGTGGTCTCCGTGGCTATCGTGTGGAGGTGAAGGAGGGGGCCACAGGCCAGTGGCGGCTGTGCCATGAACTGGTACCTGGGCCTGAGTGCGCGGTGGACGGCCTGGCCCCTGGCGAGTCCTACCGCTTCCGTGTGGCGGCTGTGGGCCCGGCGGGCGCTGGGGAGCCAGTGTACCTGCCCCAGACCGTGCGGCTCGGTGAGTGGCCACCCTCAGGCCTGGCGCGTTCGCAGTGTCCCTGAGCTGGAGGACGGGAGTCTGGGGAGGGGTGGGCCTGGACCCTGGGATGCGTCTTTGCTGATGTGGCCTGTTCGCCATCCATGGACGCTGTTTCCCCACAGAGCCGCCGACGCCCGTGCCTCCTGCGCCCTCGGCGCCCGAGACCCGGCAGGCAGTGGATGGCGAGGACGTCTGTTTGGAGCTTGAGGTGGCAGCCGAGGCCGGCGAGGTCATCTGGCACAGGGGGACGGAGCGTATCCAGCCGAGTGGGCGCTTTGAGGTAGTCTCCCAGGGAAAGCGACAGATGCTGGTGATCAGAGGCTTCACAGCGGAAGACCAGGGCGAGTACCGCTGCGTCCCCGCCCAGGGTCCTGCCTGCCCCGCAGCTGCCACGTTCCAGGGTATGTCCTCACCCTCTTGCATTCCGGGACGGGGAGCCACGGGGTGTGGGGGTATGGCCCAGCCTTCCTCCTCAGCTCTCTCAGGGGAGGGCTGAGGGTTCTCTTGGGGGCCCCGCGTCAGGTCCAGGGGGACAAGCTTGGTGAGGAGAAGCCGCGGGCCCCACGTTGCCGAGCCTCAGTGGCTTAGGCTGGCCTCCCCCTTCCTGAATGGCGTCCTAGCAGACACGGCCCATAGTTCCCCTATTCTGGTCCCCGTGTACACTGAAGCCCCTTGTACTCTGAATCCAGCCCCTCCCTCCCCCAGTGCTTAGTGCCTCCCCACGCTCTCCCCGCCCTGCACTCTGAGCCTGGCTTGGGTGCCTCCTGGGCAGTGTCTGGCTCCCATGTGGGTCTAGGTCTCCTACCCCAGCAGCAGGGCCAGGAAGGGCTAAAATAAGCCCAGTTTGACTTTGCAGAGTCCTAACATTCCCTGTACAGGAGGTAGACTGAGACCCCACTCAGCGTTGGGGGGTTGAGGCTCAGAGCCTCTCTAAGACTTGCAAAGATTGTGCTGTCAGAAGTATCTAGTGCCCCGCGGGGAGCAGAGGTCTAGTGAGGCCACAGCCTGGTCCACGTACCAGTCTGCAGCCAAGGTTGGCCTGGCGTGGCAGCTCTGTCCTGGCCAGCTGACTAGTCTCCTCCCCTCCTCAGTGGTGCTGAGCCCAGGCTCTGGGGATGAGGCTCCACCGCAGCCCAGCTTACCCCCCGAGGCGGCCCAGGAGGGTGATCTGCACCTGTTGTGGGAGGCCCTGGCCCGGAAGCGTCGCATGAGCCGTGAGCCCACGCTAGACTCCATCAGTGAGCTGCCAGAGGAGGATGGCCGCTCACCGCGCCCGAGACAGGAGGCGGAGGAGGCAGCCCCTGACCTCTCCGAGGACTACTCCACGGCCGATGAGTTGGCACGCACCGGAGAGGCTGACCTTTCACACACCAGCTCTGACGACGAGTCCCGGGCGGGGACCCCTTCCCTGGTTGCCTACCTCAAGAAGGCTGGGAAGCCTGGCACCTCACCACTGGCCAGCAAGGTGAGCCCCGACTGAGTCTGCAAGGAGAGGCCTGAGACCTTCACTATCCATGTAACCATCCTTCCTTTTTTCCACTCATCCATCCATCCATCCATGCATCTGTTCTTCCATCCATCCATCCTTCTGTCCCTCTATCTATTCTTCCTTCCTTCCTTCCATTCACACAGCCTTCCTTCCTTTCTTCCATCCATGCCTACGTTCCTTCTTCCTTCCTTCCTTCCCTTTTCCATCCATCCATCCTTCCTTTTATTCCTCCATCCATCCTTCCATCCATCCATCCATCCTTCCTTCCATCTATCCATGCATGTATCCATTGTTTCATCCTTTTTTCCTTTCCGTTCTTCCATCCATCCATCCATGCATATACCCATCTTTCTATCCACCCATTCATTCTTCCTTCTGTCCATCCACTATTCCTCCTTCCATGCAGCCATTCTTTCTTTTTCCATCCATTCATCCATCCATCCTTCTTTTCCTTCACCTGTTAATTCATCCTCTGCCCACACATCCATTCAACAGTTCATCCATACTTCTTTCCAGCTGTCTTTTTTCCTTTTGTCTATTCATCTATCCACTAATCTGTTATCCATCCGTTCATATATGCGTTTTTCTTTTCTCCTTTCCATCTATCCATCCACCATCCATCCACCATCCTTCTATTTGTCCATTCATGCCCCCATTCATCCACCTATGCATCTCTCCACTCATCCGACATTTATCCATCCATCCATTATCCACCGTCCATCCTCTGATGCGTCCATCCATCATTTATGCACTGTGCATTCATGTACCCACCCATTACCATCCATCTACCCTCCCTGTGCTTGTTCACCTGTTTATCCATTTATGTGTCAACCTGTTTATCCACCCACACAACCATACAGCCATCTATCATCCATCCATCCATTTATTCACCACTCATTATCCATTCACCCATCATTCATCTACCATCCACCTATTCATTTGTGATCCATTCCTGTATGTGTTTACCTGTTCTTCTATTTATCTGTCAACCTGTTTACCCACCCATCTGCCCATACAACCATCCATTCTCCATCCACCATCTGTCATCCAACTCTCCATCCATCCATCCAATCATCCATTATATATCACCTATCTGTTCTTCCATCTATCCATCCATCCACCAACCATCCACCCAACCATTAATCCGTTTGTCCTCCTGTTCACCCATTCAACCATGCATTCATCCACCCATCCATCCACGCATCCATGTATCTATCTATCCATCTACCATCCATCCACCCCACCCCACCTGGCTGTTAAAACTTTTCCCTGAAGATCTGGAAGTGGCCTCTTTGTGGTGATCCTCACAGCCCTGTTTGCCACATGTGGGTTACTGTGTATAGCAGTTTGTGGGAGGTGGGCTTGCTTTATGGTAGCCACAGGGGCCGTCAGCATCCAGGTGAGCCTAATGCAGTTGCCAGTGGGTGGGAGGCAGAGTGGTGTGCTAGAGCAAGACCTGGAGCCGGCCCCTCCCTGTGTGTGTCCCTGCACCAGTCCTTTCCCTATTCCTGGCCTCAGTTTCCCTACCTTACTGTGACATCAGGCCCTGTGTCCATAGGTTGAGGCCCCAGCAGCCCCCTCCCTGAAGCCGAAGAAGCAGCAGGAGCAGCTGCCTGCCATGTACCCGGCACAGGGAGACCTCAGTGCCAAGGAGCTGGGTGAACCCTCCATGGACAAGGCGGCCGTGAAGATCCAGGCTGCCTTTAAGGGCTACAAGGTCCGGAAGGAGATGAAGCAGCAGGAAGGGCCAGTGTTCTCCCGCACATTTGGGGACACTGAGGCACAGGTGGGAGATGTCCTGCGGCTGGAGTGTGTGGTGGCCAGCAAGGCAGATGTGCGGGCCTGTTGGCTGAAGGATGGTATGGAGCTGACCGACGGGCGGCACCACCACATCGACCAGCTTGGGGATGGCACCTGCTCTTTGCTGGTCACCGGTGTGGGCCGTGCCGATGCTGGCCGCTACACCTGTCAGGTGAGCAACAGGTTTGGCCAGGTGGCCCACAGCGCCTGCGTGGTGGTCAGCGGGACAGAGAGCGAGGCCGAGAGCTCATCAGGGGGTGAGCTGGACGACGCCTTCCGCCGGGCCGCCCGGAGGCTGCACCGGCTCTTCCGTACCAAGGGCCCGGCTGAGGTTTCAGACGAGGAGCTCTTCCTCAGCGCTGACGAGGGCCCCGCGGAGCCGGAGGAGCCCGCGGACTGGCAGACGTACCGCGAAGACGAGCATTTTGTCTGCATCCGCTTCGAGACACTCCCCGAGGCCCACCGGGCAGTCACGCGCTTCCAGGAGATGTTTGCCACGCTGGGCATCGGGGTGGAGATCAGCCTCATGGAGCAGGGGCCCCGGGGGGTGGAGATGCGCATCGGCAAGGTGGCCCCCACCCCTGCAGCGCCCCAGGAGCCAGTGCCCAGCTTGCTGCCCTCTGATGCTGCCGGTGAGTCTGCGTGCTGCCTCGGCCGGGTGGGAGCTGGGGTCCAGAGGCGGGGCCTGGAGTGGCCAGAGGCGGCAGAAAGCTCAAGGGGTTCCCTGTGCCCCGGCACCAGGCTCTTCGTAGGTGCAGCCCGCTGCAGTGTGGAAAGCTCTGACTTGGGGGCTCAGCAGAGCTGAACTTGGCTTCTGCCTCTGTCTCCTACTAGCTTTGTGTTTTGGGGAAAGCTACTCAGTGTCTCTGAACCTCAGCTTTCACACCTAAGAAATGGAACCACAAACACGGTTGTCCCTCAGTATATATGGAGGATTGGTTCCAGAATCCTTGCAGATACCCAAATCCGCATGTACCCAAGTCCCAAAGTTGACCCTTCAGAACTTGCATGTACAAAGTCAGCCATCTACATATGTGGGTTTTGAATGCCACAAGTACTATATTTTGATATCCGCTATGGTTGAAAACTATCTGCGTATACATGGACCCATGCAGTTCACATATTAAATACGTGTTGTTCAAGGGCGATTGCACGCACTTTCTAGATTTTTCTCATGAGCCTTTGAGGTATAACCCGTATAAAACACGGGGCTCCTCATGGTCCAGTCTGTATACGATTTCCAATCCCAGCTTCTAAGAGTAATTGAAAAGCCATGCTAGTATTTACTTGTATCTTCCTAAGAATGTTAAAGAGAGTATAATAAATGACCGACGGCATCATCTCTTAAAACTTCTTTCCAATTTTGAGCCACTCCCTTCTTTCAAATTTCGCACCTGCTCTCCTGGACTCCCAGCCCACGCAGCCTTGATCTTTGCTTCGTCTCCCTTTTCCTCTCTGTTTCCAGTTGTCTATCCCCCTTGCCTCATAGTAGTTTGGGAACCAAGCTGGGAAAGAGAGAATTCTTAGAGAACAAGGAAGAGGGAGCGGGAGAGGTGTAGCAGGCAGACACCGTTCTGTCAGGGTCTGCAGATGCTCCCACAGGAATGCTTGCTGTGCAGAGCATGTGTGTCAAACCAGCCTTTTGGTGGGGACTCGCATATGTATGGCAGCTGGCTGTGATCGCTGTGCCCTGGGCCAGCTCGCCGCGTGCCTGCCTGTCTGTCGTAGCCCCGGTGTTCCTGACTGAGCTGCAGAACCAAGAAGTGCAGGACGGGTATCCCGTGAGCTTTGACTGTGTGGTGACCGGCCAGCCCCTGCCTAGTGTGCGCTGGTTCAAGGACGGGAAGCTGTTGGAGGAGGACGACCACTACATGATCAACGAGGACCAGCAGGGTGGCCACCAGCTCATCATCACAGCGGTGGTGCCTGCAGACATGGGTGTCTACCGCTGCCTGGCCGAGAACAGCGTGGGTGTATCCTCCACCAAGGCCGAGCTCCGAGTGGACTGTGAGTCTGCCGTCTGGTTTGCTGTCTCCAGGGTGGGCGGTACTGTGGCTGGAGGGTGGTCCAGAGAGCATTTGTCTCCGGCCAGGAAGGATTTGGGGCCTCAGTGTCTTCTGCCTGGTGGAGAGCTCCCTGGGAGCTAGGGCCAAGACCAGGCCCCCCGCTGGAGCTCCCTGGGCATGGGGGGCATGTAGAGGGATCTCGTCCCTTTGAGAGGCCTCCAGGCTGAGGAGAGGACCGGGAATATTTGGAAGTAGACCTTAGTGGGGCGAGGCGAGGGGCAGGAAGGGGAACCCAGCCTACCCCAGCCACCCCTTAGTGTCCTGTGAGGAGATGTCAGATGGCGGGATGCAGAAGCCTCTCAGGAGAAGCTCAGGGGCATGGTGGGTGGTGCACTGTGTCATCACAAGAAATTCATGGTTGATCTCTGTCCCCAGTTCCTGACACAGCTCCTAAATCCGTTGGAATTTCCTGGGTGACAGGAGCATCTTATGTTGTAATGAGGCCACTCTTGGTGGGCCCCCAGATAGCGTCAGGGTGAGAGCTGGTTGCCAGAAAGACCAGCCTTGGTCGGAAGCCTGAGATGTTCAGCTCCATCCCCATGCTCTGGGGAGGGAAGGGGCTGCTGCCATTGGTTCGATCATCGATCCTGCCCACGCACTGCAGGGGTCAGGAGCATCCAGGTCAGCGAGCACGTGGAGGCGCTGGTGCTCCAGGGAGGGCACGGCCACTCTGCGTCTCTCCCTCATGCCTGGCCCAGCGTGTCTCTTCCGTCTGCTGTTCCTGAGTTGTGTCCTTCCTAACACACCAGTGATCGTGAGCAAAGCACTTTGCCGAGTTGTGTCAGTTCAAGCAAATCACCGAACACAGGTGGGTGGCGAGAGCCTCTGATCTGTAGCCAGTCGGTCAGAAAGGTGGGTGGCAACCTGGGACTCGCAACTGGCATCTGAAGTGGGGACAATCTTGGGAGGGCTGAGCCCTTTACCACGTGGGATCGGTGCCAACTCTGGGTGGTGAATGTCAGAATCGAATGAACTTGTCAGATCCCTAGTTGGTAGGCGTGTTGCGAGTCAAGCTCAGATTCTGGCTCTGCCACTTGCCGGCTTTGTGATGGGGACAAGCCATTTTATCTCTCGATGCCTTAGCTTCCTCATCTGGAGAATGGAGATCGTGGAAATGATCTCATGGCACAGGTGTGAGGGTTAAGTGAGTCGATTCAGGTGAAGCATCTAATACACCACGCCGGGCACATGGTCACAGATTGTCAGCTAGCGTGTGAGGCAGTTGTAAGGACAGGGACAAGGGATCTTTAATATGGAAAGACCTTATGTATTTCCCCATGTAGCTCCATGTCCAAGCTCTTCTTTCTGTTGTGTAGATCTAGATTTCCATCTGGTATCATTTTCTTTCTGTCTGAAGGACATCTTTTAACATTTCTTGTAGCGTGGACACACTGGAATTTTTTTCAGCTTTTGTACATCTGAAAATGTCTTTTTCCACTCTTGTTTTTGAAAGATATTTTTGCTAGGACAGTTTTTTTTTCTTTCCATACTTGAAAGATGTTGCTCCACTGTTTTCTAGCTTGCATTATTTCCGAGGAGAAATCTGATGTCATTCTTATCTTTGAATCCCTGTACAAAAGTTATCTTCCATATAGGGATTTTACATTTTTTAGATATTCAATCTCCAGATCATAAAAGTCACCATTTAAAAATGTACATGTGGTGGTTTTTAGTGTGTTTACAAAGTTGTGCAGCCATCACCACTATCTAATAGCATGTTCCAGAATATCTTATTCCAGAATATTCACATCTTCCCCAAAGAGAAACCATTAGCAGTCACTCCCCACTCTTCTTCCCCTCAGCCATAGAAATTACTAATCTACTTTCTGTCTCTCTGGATTTGCCTATCCTGGACATTTCCTATAAATGGAATCCTACAACGCACGGCCATCTGTGTCTGACTTCTTCCACTGAGCGTAATGTTTTCAAGGCCCCTCCGTGCCATGGCTTATATTATTATTTTATACGTTTTTATGGCTGAAAAATCTTCCATCATATTTAGCGTATTTGTACATTCATTGCATGATGTATATCCATTGACTGGCCATTATGAATAATGCTGTGTGAACATTTGCGTACAAGTTTTTGTGTGAGTGTATGTTTTTAATTTTCTCGGGTGTGTGCCTGGCAGTGAGTTGCTGGATTATGTGGTAATTCCATTCAACTTTTAGAGGAGCTGCCACACTCTCCCACAGCAGCTGCTCCATTTTACATTCCCATCAGCAGCGTACAAGGGTTCCCGTTTCTCCGCATCATTGCGAGGGCCTGTCATCACTCACCGTTATGATCATGGCCGTCCTAACGGGTGTGAGGCAATGTCTCGTTGCGGCTTTGGTTTGTGTTTCCCGCTGACTAGTGATGTTGGGCCTCTTCTCATGCACTTACTGGCCGTGTGTCTATCTGCTTTGGAGAAATAGCTACTCAGATCCTCCTCCCATTCTTAAATGGGGTTGTCTTTTTTATTTTTGAGTTGTAAGAGTTCTTCATGTATTCACGATCTGAGATCTTTATCAGATATAGGATTTTCAAATATTTTCTCATTCTGTGGGTTGTCTTTTTACTTTCTTGAAAGAGTTCTTTGAGGCACAGAGGTTTTAAATTTTAACAAAATCCAATTTATCTACTTTTTCTTTGGCTGCTTGTGCTTTGTCATTTCTAAGAAACCATTGCATAATCCAAGGTTGTAAAGATTACACCTGTGCTTAGAGTAGCTCTTACATGTAGGTCTTTGATCCATTTTCAATTATTTTTTATATATCGTGTGAGGTAAGGGTCCAAATTTATTCTTTTAATATGAATATCTAGTTGTCCCACCACCGTTTGTTGAAAGACTATTTCGTCATTGAATTGTCTTGAAATTCTTGTCAAAAGCTAATTTCCTTGGAATGTACGGGTTTACTTAGGGACTCTAAATTCTATTGCATTGATCTGAATGTCTGTAAGTATGTCAGCACCACCCTGTCCTGATCACTGTAGCTCTCTATTGAGTTTGGAAGTTGGGAGTGTGCGTCCTCCAAGTTTGTTTGTTCGAGACTGTTATGCCCGTGTTGGGTCCCTTGCGTTTTCATATGAATTTTAGGATTGGTTTGTCACATTCTGCACAAAAGGTCTCTAGATAATTTAAAAAAAATTTTTTTTAACCAATAGTTATGATTAATTTGATTGTGAGGTGCTTTGGTATACTTTTCTTCATGTTCTTTGTGCTTGGACTTCACTGAGCTTTTCAGAACTGTGAGTTTATTGTTTTCATTAAATTCGAAATTTTCGTGGCCATTATTTCTTCAAATATTTTTTCTGCTGCCGCTCAGTTGTGGACTTTAGTTACATGTAATAAGCCACATGAAGTCGTGCTCTTTTCACTTTTTAAAATTCTTTTTTTCTCCGTATATTTCATTTTGCACAGCTTCTATTGCTGTGTTGTTACATTCACCATCTTTTTTCTATAATATCTAATGTACTAATCCAATTAATTGTATGTTTTTGTTTCTGTAAGTTCTACCTGAGTCTTTCTCGTATATTGTATGTCTCTACCTAACCTTTTGAGTGCAGAGAATACAATTCTAATACCTGATTTCGTATCCTCCTCTGCCAGTTCTAACATCAGTCAGTTTGGGGGGTTCCAGGTGATTATTCTCCACATTGTGGGTCGTGTTTTCCTGCCTCTTTGCATGTCTGGTGATCTTCGATTGGATGCTTGACATTGTGAGTTTCACCCTGTGGGGATATTTTATATTTCTACAGATTTTCCTGAGCTTTGTTCAGGGATCCAGTTAAGATACTTAGAAGCAGTTTTGTTGTTACTTTCGGGTGTGGCTTTTATGATTTCCGTGGTGAGTCCAGAGCAGTGCTCGGGCTGCGCTAGTATTCCCCACTCCAGAGGCGGAGCTTTCCCGAGTACCATAGTCAGTGCCCTGTGAGCTGCGAGCCTGTCCAGTCGGACTGGTGGAAGCAGGCCCTACGCCCGGTGCTTTCCTCCAATCCTCTCCCACATGCGTACGCTGCTCAGCATTCTGCCGAACCTCGGGGGGGTCCCCTCTCTGTGCAGCTTTCTCTCCTCCAGTCCTCTGTCCTGCAAACACCAGCTGTCCTGCAGGACTCTCAGCTTCCCCTCCTAAGCTCAAGGAGTTTGCCTGGCTCTGCCTCAGTTTCCCCTTCCTGGGCCTGGAAACACAAGGCAGGAAGCTGAGGCAATCCGAGGGCTCACCTTTACTTCCTATCTTTAAGAGATCAATGTCCTTTATTTGTTTAATGTCCAGTGACTTGAAAACCATTGTTTCATGTATTTTGTCTTTTTTTCAACTGTTTTAGGTGGGAGGGTGCCTTAGTCATTTTGGGCGGCTCTAATAAAGCCCCAGGGACTGGGTGGCTTATAAACAACAGAGATTTATTTCTCACAGTTCTGGAGTCTGGAAGCCTGAGATCAGGGTGCAGTGTGGTTGGGTTCTGGTGAGGGCCTGCTTCTGGGTGGCAGACGGATCTTCTCACCGTATCTTTCACGGATACGTCGTGTCTGCAGACATACAAACCATCCAGCTCCTGACAGGGTCAGATCCACAATGTCAAGCATCCCATCAAAGATCATCAGACATGCAAGAGGGCAGAAAAATATGACCCATAATGTGGAGAAAAATCAATCAGTCAAAACCAACCCAGGCCAGGCATGGTGGCTCACACCTGTAATCCCTGTGCTTCTGGAGGCTGAGGCAGGAGGATCACTTGAAGCTAGGAGTTTGAGACCAGCCTGGGCAACATAACAAGACCCTATCTCTGCAAAAAATAAGGAAGATTAGCCAGGTGTGTTGGTGCATGTCTGTAGTCTCAGCTACTTGGGAGGCTGAGGTGAGAGGTTCGCTTGAGCCCAGGAGTTCAAGGCTGCAGTGAGCTATGATCGCACCACTGCACTCCAGCCTGGGTTACAGAGCAAGACCCCGTCTCTAAAATAAAATGAAATAAAAATGAAAAACCAGCCCTGATGTTAGCACTGGCAGAGAGCACTAAAACAGGTATCAGGGCTCGGTGACGTGCAGTCCCAGCTACTTACCTGGGAGGCCGAGGTGGGAGGATTGTGAATTTGAGCCCAGCCTGGGAAAAACAATGAGAACCCATCTAATAAGTCGATAGATAAATAAAAACAGTTATGAGAATTATTTTCCATGTGTTCAAAAAGTTAAGTAGAGATGTAAAATATTTGTAAAAGATTCGAATAGAACTTCTAGGGATAAAAAGTACAGCGATGGGACTAATAGCAGATTAGATATTCCAGAAGAAAAGATACCGCGCCGCGTGAGGACACGCCATACAGAGTGGGAGGGGCTCCGAGGTCCCTTTTATGAGGGCGCTAATCTCATTCTTGGGGGCTCCGCTCTGATGACCTATCACCTCCCAAAGACCCCGCCTCCTGACACCATCCGTTGGGAGTTAATGTTTTAACATAAGAATTTTGAGGGGACTCAAATCTTCAGCCCGTAACAGAGGGTAAGTCCAGTTCCTGTCACTCCCCCTTGACTAGAAAGGCAAGCCCCCAGCTGTTGGTGCGAGGCCTGTGTTGCTTCATTTCCTTGGTCCCCAGTAGGGTGGAACTGGAAGTCTCTACCGCTGTCACTGTGTCACCGATGAAGCCTCTGCGTCACCCAGTACTCACAGTCTGTCGGGTCACACAGGCTCGTGGTTAGTTACAGGCCTGGACCACAGGGGTGGGGAGGCCACAACACGACTGCTCCCTGCACGGCTGCGGCTCCCAGCAGGCTGCGTGGTCAGGACCTCGGGGGGGCCGAGGGGTCCTGGTGCAGGAACATGTGCCCAGGCAGTTGGGTGGCAAGCCTTGCTCCAGCTACGCTCTTCCTCCCCCAGTGACAAGCACAGACTACGAAACTGCAGCTGACGCCACGGAGACCTCGTCGTACTTCAGCGCCCAAGGCTACCTGTCCAGGTAGGGGCCGTGCCTGGGGACTGGGGGAGTGATGGTGCCGGGCCGAGGGGGTGGGCGGCAGAATCCAAATCCTGGAGCCTTCAGTCAGGCCCCGGGAGCCTCCCGTCCTGCCGTCCATTGGTTTAGCAAACAGGGAGTCTCAGAAGTCACCCTGCTGCACCCCTGCATGGCCACCTCATTTTCTGTTCCCCCTGCCAGCCGGGAGCAAGAGGGAACAGAGTCGACCACGGACGAGGGGCAGCTGCCCCAGGTGGTGGAGGAGCTGAAAGACCTCCAGGTGGCCCCTGGCACACGCCTGGCCAAGTTCCAGCTCAAGGTGAAAGGTGAGAGGGAGGGTGGGTAGGGGCACTGCCAGGGCGGGGTGGAGGCCGGGGAGCTGTTCCCCGTCAGCCACGATCGGGAGGAGACTGGCCGGCAGAGGTTAGGGGATGACACGTGCCTGCTCCCCGGGTCCCTGGCAGCGCGGGGGCTTTCAAGGGACCCTCTCCAGGCTTCGCCCGTCTCCCATCTGGAGAGCACAGTGCCCGTTGGAGGGTGGCCCTGAGCTGACCACACCCTCCCGTGGCCCAGGCTACCCCGCACCCACGCTGTACTGGTTCAAAGACGGCCAGCCCCTGACCGCCTCTGCCCGCATCCGCATGACCGACAAGAAGACCCTGCACACCCTGGAGATCGTCTCAGTCACCCGGGAGGACACTGGCCAGTACGCGGCCTACATCAGCAATGCTGTGGGCGCCGCCTACTCCTCTGCCCGGCTGCTGGTCCGAGGTGGGTGCTGCAAGGGACTGGGCAGAGAGCTTGGGCCTTGGACAGTGTCCAGACCAGGGCTGATGTCCCCCAGCATGCCTTGCCGGGTCAGGCCTGGCGGCCAGAGCCCAGCGGTAGTCACCCCTACATACAGAGTGTCACCGGCGGCTGGGAGCGGGTGCCTGCAGGGGCAGCGTGGGGCCTCGTCCTGGCCAGTGGGCCGGCTGGGGGAGCAGACCCTGGGAGGCAGGAAAGTCCTGGGCGCTCGGTAGAAGCACGTGGATCAAGAAGTCGGTGGTAGCCTTGGGGACAGAGGCCCACACTTCCTGACCGTGCAGATGTCCTGGGCACTGAAGATTGATTCTAGGTTTGACCCAAGTCTGCCGTGCCGCGAGGGCCCCAGCACCGCTGTGGTCTTCCCCCGCGTCACGAGGTGGGACTCCAGCTGTTTTGAGCACAGACGTTTGCGCGTAGGTTCCAAAGCGAGGCTCCAGAATCCCTAACGGGGCCGAGAGAGTGGGTGGCGGGGTGCCACATCACATCTGGTCCGTGCGGCCTGTTGCCTCGGTCACACCTGAGTGTGTGGGTTCCGTGGTTCCGTGGCCGAGGGTTCGGGCAAGTGGTCGGACACCTTCGCCTGCGGGGCACGCCGTCCTCACACTCCCCCACTCCGGCGCAGTGCGTCGAGCCACCAAGCACCACCGCAGCACGGTGTCCGGGGCCACAGGGACGGGGCCCACGCGTACTGACCTCTCACTTCTGCGCCGTTTGCAGGCCCCGATGAACCAGAAGAGAAGCCGGCATCAGGTGAGGCGGCCCCAGGTGGGCAGAAAGAGGCTGGCGGGACAGTGGGCGCCACGGGCTGGAGTGGGCAGCCGCGGAGGTGCGGGTCGCCGTGGGCTGACTCAGCCGGGGTGTGGGAGGGAACAGCTGGGCAGGGGGGACACGTGGGGCTGCCCAGGGCCTGCCAGGCATGGGAGGCGGAAGCTATGCCCGGGGGTCAACAGCAGCTGCACCGCGACCTTCCAGATGTGCGTGAGCAGCTGGTGCCACCCCGCATCCTGGAGAGGTTTACCCCCAAGAAAGTGAAGAAGGGCTCCAGCATCACCTTTTCGGTGAAGGTGGAAGGTAGGGCGGTTCCTGCCTCCTGCCACAGGGAGATCACCCCGGGTGGGGTGGAGGCTACCCCCTCCACACTCACGTCGGCCCCGGGGAGTCCGCAGGGAGACCCCACCTCCAGGAGCCCCGTCCCCTGCGGGGATGTACCCACTGCCCTCCCGCCCGCCCGCAGGACGCCCGGCCCCCACCGTGCACTGGCTCAGGGAGCAGGCCGGGAGGGGCGTGCTGTGGATTGGCCCCAACACGCCGGGCTACACCGTGGCCAGCTCCGCCCAGCAGCACAGCCTGGTCCTGCTAGACGTGGGCCGCCAGCACCAGGGCACCTACACGTGCATCGCCGCCAACGCTGCTGGCCAGGCGCTCTGCTCCGCCAGCCTGCACGTCTCTGGCCGTGAGTGCGGTGGGTGGGGGCGGGCAGGGTGGCCGGGCCAGGGCTCAGGAGGCAGGCACCAGGCGGCATCAGAGCTCCCTGGGACACACCGTCTGTCCCCACCATCAGGGCTGGGAC